GAAGGCATTAGCAATGCTTCCAGTCGCCGCCTTTTTCCTCGATGGTAGGAAAGGTTGGTCTGGGTAAGTCATGGAGAGCACCCAACGTGCCAAACGCTTGCCAAGAAACTTGATGCCCCTTTCTGTTCGAGTAGCATTTCCAGAAAAGCCTCTTACTACGACTTCTTCTTCGTCATATTCGTCATATTCGTCGTCATCAGCATCAGGAGGGTCGCCTTTTTCGGCCTTTTCTCGTGCTTTCCTGGCTCTCGCATCAGCCTTCGCTTGTTTCGCAGCTGTATCGATGCTCTCCTTCATGTATAGCATATCAGCTCCAAGGTTACTATGCAAGCCATGCGTTACAACAACTAGATGGATTTTCCTTGGAGGCTGCCTTTTTGCGTTATCATCTTCCGTCTCTGTCGGCTCCGTAACACTACCGGTTGCCTTGCTCACACTCGATGCTTTGTGGCTTCCATGGTGCCACTCGTCCCAGCCAGGAAGCGGTGGTGTATTCCAGAGACTTGCTGTATCCTCAACCTTTAAGGCAATAGCCTTCGAAAAGACACCCTTCGGCTGGGCGCGGTGATGGCCATCTTTTGCGCCTATACTTTGTTGAAAATCGGTTACCTTGCCGGGTTGTGGGACCTGAGCTTGACCGCCTATGACTGGCACGCCACCGAGATTTAGGCTCTTTTCGTCGCGCGCGAGCAAGACCTCGTAGCCCACGGCTGCACTGTTAGAGAAAATAACCTGGCTCGTAACCTCCACGACCCAGCTCGCAGTTTTTGGAACCTCTTCATGCGTAGTATCATAGCCAAAGTCACCCCTCGCAGCCCCCGTTCCGGCGCTCTGGCGGATGTTGTCTGGTACGATCAACTGGCATGACCACGTGCCTCCAGCCTTGAGCATGGGCTCAAATTCAGGGACTCCATAACGTTGGGGGTTTTCGAACTTGCTATTCGGATCGTAGTGGGCGGGACAGGCGGAAACGTCTAGAGTATATGGGCCGTGGATAAAGGCGGCTCGCAGGGGAATAGGGGAAGTATTGCGGATTCGTAGGTATAGAACGTCGGGCGAAGGTAGTATTCGGTCGTGCGACGGTGCATAAGTTACGGTGTAGCGGATGACTTCACCAATTTTGACGCTGCCAATCTGATGCAGGAGAAGCATGTTTCAGAAGGGTTCCCCGCGAGAACCAATCATCGACCTGGAGACAATAGGTGCGGTCAACGGTCTATGACGAAATGTAAACGAGTAACGAGTGGTTAACATGAGAAGGCGAGCTCTAGATGGTAGAACTAGGAGGATCGGCAGGGCGCATTGGAGAATGAGGTATCGACATATTACAGGTGCGTTTACAGATGCGCAGATGCGTAGGGAGATGAGCGGAAATGAAAATTTAAAAGATAATTAGAGTGATCATTGCGTTGTTTTAGTGGGAGTCAGCGTTGATCGTGAACGTATTGTATGTACTGATGTAAATAAAAAAGTAGGGTCCGAGATGGGAGCACGCGGACAAAGTTGAACAAAGATCCATGGATCCGCAGGGTCGGGCAGCCTGTTGCAGTGTTGCTGCTACCGATAATGTGGCTAGGAGGTACCGATAACAATGTGCTGCAGTACCGACGTCACAGGCACTGCACTATACTAAAATAGCGCCGCCACGCTTAACTTACCGCTTCTATGTCCCCAAAGCTACCCCCCCCATACCACTTCTGCATTTCCCTTTTTAGCAACATTTTAAGACCTACATCATGGCGTTCACTACATGTAAGCAGCTTCGGATATAGTTCGTGTTTCTCATCCGCATTCTTATCATCCGAACTTACTCTTAAGCTGAAGGATCATCCTTGCATCCTGGCGAATATAATATATTTATCTTGTACGGAAGTCGCCTTCAAAAGTTTTGTCCATAGGTCAGCCCCTGTCAGCTTTGGCCAGCACTGCCAAGGCTTGGCGACGACTGGTAGGATGTACTTTCAAAAATACTATTATTTTATTTAATTTTATACCTGAAAATAAAATTGTTAAAATTTTGAAATTTATATATAATAAAACTTAGTTTTTAAATTAAATATTAATCGCAATTATATCTTATTATTGTATAAATTAAGGTCGATATTAAATATAGAAAAATAAAAGAAATAAAATATACTTTCCAATCTGTAGCCGCCAAGTGCTGCCAGCGGTTCCACAGCTGTGGTCAAAGCTGACAGGCGTGCACTATGGACAAAACTTTTGAAGGCGACTTCCGTACCTGACGTCTCATTTCTTCCTCCGCTATGATAAGTTGCTTAAGTGCCTAGGTACCTGTTAATTCGTTCAATAATACAACTAGAAACTTACAAGTTAAACAACAAAGGACTTAAGCACTACCTACTATACAACATGATATAGACCAAGGGGAAAGAGCGCGCTTTGAAAATTGTTGCTGGAAGTTATCTATTAAAATATAACCGTCTAAAATAACATACGCCAAAGCCTTATCAACCAGGTTCAATAACTCTTATATTTTCGTTCGCAGGTGTTAAACTTCATCTTAAACTTCATTATTTACTTGTTATTCATTTCTTATCACGTAGTTCTAGCAATCGCGTACTGATAATTATATTATATTCTGTATAAAAGCTATCTATCCGTTGGCTAACAGCTTATTGGCGCTCTTCACTTATAAAGCCGCTCAACTGCTTGAGCAAACCCCCTTTACCATTTTAAACCCAAAGTTGAGCTTAGCCTATCTTAATATTTTGATATATACTAAGTTTAATGGCTATATTAAGTGTTTACTAAGAGCACGATAGTAGAGCTTGTACTTAATATCCATCTGGTAAGCTAGAAGTAAAGACGAGTTGAGGAATTAACCCTTGAGATAACCCGTGTATAAAACATACGCGAGAGTGAATGTCTTATTGTTTTATTGTCTTAAGTGACACTTGTCAGAAAACATCCTAAAGGCGAGGCCTTAATATATAATCATAGGCATATATCAAGAAGAGCACTCGGGCTGTTTCGAGCGGAATTTTCATGTTACGTAATTTTTTTGAATTTTTTTCTCTAAGAAGCTCATATATTAAATATATGAAGCAAATGGTAAGACTACCTGTTTCTCAAACTTGCTGACTTTTCGAGAAAGCTTCGGGTTGTATAGAATACTGGTTGTTGAGGACTCTGTACTTACACCTCAATGTTAAGGCAGTCTTGTACGGTTCTTTTTACGAGATTTGGGACAACTACCCTCGAATAACTTACAGGATGTCTAATTGTAATTGCTCTTCATTATGCATAAATATCGACGGAGCGGCAACGATGTCGCCGTGTCTTATTTGGGCTTAGTATCGATTGATCAGTCTAATCGTACGGCCGACGCCGAAGGGCGACAGAGCTTGTTTTTATATCTGATTTACATCCAGTTACTTGGGAAGGATAGAACTTCCTTATTGATCAATCTGCGGCAAATATTCTAAAATTAACCAAATAAATATTCACTTGAACCGGAGAACGACAACTTAAGGTTACCAGGCTGGTATAGTGCTGACAAGCTACCTACCTACCTAACATATGCAAGCTACCAAAGCTGAAGTACATAGGTAGGTAGGCTAGGGAGCAATACTACTATCAACACGGCGAAGCGGGCTTTGGGGCATGTATTCTCTCCAGCATACTTTTGGTAAAGATTCACGGGATGGGCCGTTAGGCTTGAGGCTGCACAGGGCTAGTTAGTCTAGCCGGCTTTACATATGTAGGTAGTTGGGACTTTCGAAACTTGCTGTTGTTGTACAGCAGCATTCTTCTGCTGCCTGATGTAGTAGTACTGACCGGCCGAATAGGCAATGTTAAAATGCTGTGTCAGATACGTAGGTAGGTATCCAACTTAGTAACACTAGCACAGGAATCGAGGCAGGCTGCACGGCTAAACGCCCTACCACCTGGATCATACCTCAGGAACCATGGTAATCACTAATATATAGGGGCGAGTAGCGAACAGTGAACAGTAGGATACGGTTTTCTTGTGTAACTTACTACCTGTCTGCGTGCCTGATGACTGATCATCCAACCACCCCTTTTTAATGCATTGGAAGGATGATTTCTTGGAATATGGGAATAAATGACGACGATCAGGAGGAGCTAACGCACTCGTGACGAAGGATTTTCTGTTTTCAATGGTATTTACTCCAAGTCACTTGATTGGAATTGCTCATCACAGGAAATGTCCCTCTTCTAAACCTGTGTGCGACTGGAAAGGTTAGAGCTTTATTTTTTTATTTTTTTTATTTTTTTTCTCAACGTGACGAACGGGCTGGAACTTGACATGTGTGAGGGGCATCTGGCATGGAGGGGACCAGTCAGGAGCCAGGTTTTTAGTCGCGCTTGTGCCGCCAGAATCACTGTCCAACCAACGAATGGTCGTTTTCCAGGGGGTTCCCGGCCACTTAGGTCCACTCAAACAACCATTCGGGCCATTCCCCAAGGACCCCCAGGTGAAGATCGTAGGTGAGGGTCAGAACGGAGGGGCAGGGGGAATAGCCAGCGAAGGCGGAGGCAGTGATAGGCAGTAATAGTTATTCCTTACATATCGTACTGTATCAGTATCATGTTCGGGTTAGAACCGATATTTGCCCTGACCACCTGTTCTCCCTTGTCTCACCTCCACAGCTTTTCCATACCTCACCTCTCGTATCTCTCCCCACGACAGCGCGATCCAGTTATCGTGTAGGATCCCGTAGACGATTAAATCGTAATTAGGTGCCATCACACATCATTGTCCTACGACTTTGACGTCTATTGGGGATGTTTTCGCCCGATACTGCACATCCCACTCCTAATGCAGACTGCAACCATACAGCCCAATCAGCACTGAATTGAGTGCATGCAACTAGCCATTCAGGAGTAACCAGCTGTTCATTTCCCACGATACCGGCAGGACTCCTCAACCAACCGAAGCAGTAGAGCAAAGACGGTCTCCTCTACGAATCCGTAGGTACGGGGCTGACACAACGGACGAATGGCACAATCACAGCATGTCGCGGCCAAGCAGCGGGCCAGACGTCGACACCAGACACGCAGTCCCTCCCCATCTCGCCACCATGATTGGGACTCACGACATGATCCCAACCCCCATTCGCTGCCTTACCGACCCCGAGGACCTGAAATACACAGGTTTGCCGGTAGAAATTTAAAAATTTATTCTCATCAAGGTGCACCGCTGTCCGAAGACGACGACTCAGATGCTACCGACCCAATGCCTCATCCACAGCAGCAACTGACCCGTCCCCGGTCGGCCACCGTCGGATCTCGGAACGGGAAAGGTCGGGCAGTGTATCTCGAGGTAGAAGATGGCGATGACGATGACGAACAAGCCAAGATGATTTCGAGGCTTAGGTCTAGATCCAGACCCAGGACGCAATCGAGACACAGGACCAGGAGCAGGACCAGGAGCGTGACCAGTAGCAGCGGAGACGATGAGACCTACGAACTTTCGACACCCCCGAGATCCACTCCCTTATATCGATCCAGGCCTACCTCGAGGATTCCATCACCGTCTTCATCGAGAAGTTCAAGTGTTGACACCGAGTCATCGGATTCCACAGAGGATGAAAGGCTTAAGCGCCGAGCCCGCAAAAGACCAGTCCAAGTCCCAGTAACCCCGCCTCCACCCCCGGTCGACCGGGTCTCCCGCCGACGACAACGATCAAGACATCGAGAAAGACCTGCCTATGAAGAAGATACCGATGAAGAACCCGAATACGAAACCACGCTCCGTCGTTTGCGAGAAAGGTCAAAATCCGTGCCACGATCAGGACACATCGAGTCACGAAGCACGTCCCGGATTCGTCCTCGTCATCGAGACCATTACGATGAACCAGAGGCTAGTTCATCGAGACGGTAAGCATGCAACGCATTTAATGTCCGGGAGTTGATACTGACGATCGATCCTATTAGACCTCATCGGAGGAGGCATTACGAGTCTGATGTGGGATACACTGCGAAGCCCTCGCTTCCACGGGCGCACACTGCTCCCAATTCACATGTAGCGTCCCAGAGTATGAGTTCCTCCTCAATATCTTCTCCAGCTTTTCTGAATAGGTTTGTGGGTTCAGGACTCCAGTCGCCGCCCGACAAGCACTCGAAGATGTAAGTTTGCTAAGCAAATCTAGCAATAAGTCGCTGGTAGATGATGCAAATCTAATTGATTGTCTTTAAATAGGGTGGAATGTGTTGTGTGCCTCGACGACCTACCGTCTTCGAAGACGGCCAAGCTGAAGTGCGGGCATCGTATGTGCAAGTCATGCCTAAAGCGCAGCTTCAAGCTCTCCGTCAAAGACCCGGCGCAGATGCCTCCGAAATGCTGCACGTCGGATTGCATCCCGCTAAAGCACGTCGATAACCTGTTCGACATCGATTTCAAGAAGACCTGGAACCGGAAGTTCCACGAATTTTCTACTCGGAACCGTGTGTACTGCCCGGGTAAGAGATGCGGCCGATGGATCAGACCAGACCAGATCCAGCAACACCGCAATGGCCGCAAGGTCGGTAGATGCGGTAGCTGTCATACTCGCGTATGCTGCGACTGTAACAACAAATGGCACGGCTCCGGCCCATGTCCTGCTGACGAAGAGACGAACCAGATTTTACAGCAGGCTAAGGAAGAGGGATGGCAGCGTTGCTTCAACTGCAGAAATATGGTAGAACTAAAGGAAGGCTGTAATCACATGACTTGGTAAGACACCGTTCTTTATTATTAGGAGTTTATGGGGGTCTAATGAGGAATTTAGTCGTTGTGGTGCGGAATTTTGCATGATTTGTGGCCTGAAGTGGAAGACCTGTGAATGCCCGTGGTTCAACTATGATGGCGCCGACGCCGACGGGCTCGACCACATGCAGATTCCAGAACCGATGATAGACCGAGAGAGGTTAGGCCTCAGAAGTGCTCCACCTGCTCAGGGTTTTGCTCAGGCTTTTGATGCTAGAAGACGCTCGCCTGGTAATGGACTACGAACTCGACCAAGTCCCTACGATGACGAGCTTCTCCGGAGGCGTCTTCAAGAACAGCGAGACGAAGAATTGGCACGGCGGCTTCAGTTCGAGGACAGTGAAGATGAATATATGGATCCCGCTGATGACATTATGGGTCTCGGGAACACCACCGCCACCAACAACACGGCGCACTTCAACATGAACAACCCCTATAGGCGTCGAGCACAGACTGTAGTTGCGCCGCCAGCACCCGCGCCGCCACCAGTAGGACCATTCGAAAGGACAGCAGGTTCGGTTGCAGACTATGTCACCGGAGTGAACAGGGCACGCGGCCTTCGTGCCAGCTCGTTGGAACGCCGTCTCGCCGACCGGTTCGAACAGCGCCAAAACCCCAGCCCGGCTCCTCAAGGCTTCGGACAGAGCATACCGCCTCCCCCGGCCCCTCCCCGAGCGATGGGCCCGCCACCGCTACCGCCTCAAGCCCCTTTAACGACACCTCCTATGATGCGTAGACACACCGTGGACGATGAAGACTTATACGAGATTCCACGGGCTAGTCGAATTCCCGAACGGATGCTCCCCAGGCGAGCTGCGACGCGCGGCTACATGGACGACTCGGCTCTGTACGAGCCCGGACCCCGGGTGCGGCACCGCCAGCGAGCCGCGTCGACATCGCCCAAGGACTCCGTTCTCGCCGGCCTCACCGGGCCCGGACGCGGCATGCACCGCGTATACGAATGGGTTGAGCACGTCGAGCAGGACCCGCACACACTCGCTACGTAGAGATTCGATCACCGTCATCGTCATCATCATCATCATAATGTTAGGGCAATGGGTTATTTATTGAGAGGAACGTTTTCCCGTACTAGGGCACATGTGTTTTGACGATTTGTTCATGAAGATGCATGAAATGACAATATGGTTTGCTAGGATTTTCTACGGATCTCCTTTTGTGGCAAGTTGTATCACCATCTACATCAATACGTTCATGCAGCAGCAGCATTATTTACACGAGTTAATTTTATTATTCGAGTGGGCTCTGCATTAATATTACTGGGTATGGTTTTTAAAGTCTCAGGACGCTTTGTAACTGCACTCGGGTCGGGTCTAGGATCAATCAATCAGGAGTTGCGGAACGACATTATCCATCGCTATTATTTTTTCAGGGGATATTCCTTTTTTTTTTTTTACAGGCATTTTATAAGGAGAAACAGAACTATCGCTATTTTTCTCTTTCTTTTCTACCAACATAGAAAAACCCAAAAAATAATTATCGATTCTTCTGTGCCACTCGCTCCTGAGCAATGGCATCCTTTCCTAATACGAGTACATGGTAGTAAAGACAATGAACTTCTGAATAGGTATTAGGGGATATCTACAGTACAATTTCAGAACTAGAACACCTTGCCCCCCGGAAATGACTGATAACCTTGCCTAGACGCTTTGCATTCTCTCATCATACAATTATTCTTTTTAGTATCGGGAAATAGGTTCCCCTTTCATATCCATAACAGCGGGCCCCGGTGCTTCTGTCAGATGGTACATCGGCGGTTCTAACGGCATGGGTGTCTGACCCATCTGGTACGCGCTCGCTTCGGGTTGCGGCTCGGAGGACTGGAGGGCTGCTACCGCTGCGTATGCGGGAGGCTTGTCGCTTAATCCGTGTGCCGGTATTGGGGACAATGGAGATACGGCACTGGATGTGACCGATGGAGAATATGTAAGTGCCGGAGTTGGTAAAGCCAGACCAGACATCGACGAATTTGTCATTGATGGAGATGGGACATCTCCCGGATAAGGTGTACGTTGGAACCTGACATTATGCTCGGAGGGATTTTGGCTTCCGGGCATGGATCGGGTTGGCGGAGTTGGTAAATGTGTGCCCTGGGGAGAAAATTGATAGTTGCTCTCGAGCTCATCCTGTTTCCTGCGCTGCTCTAGTATACGCTGTCTCCTCCTAGGTCGGATACGGAGGAAATACCACACGGCCAGAAGGAATAAGAGTGCAATAAAAGCGCCTATTACAGCTCCTGCTATCATCCCACTGCCGTGATGCTTCTCGCCATCGTCATCGTCATTGTCATCGTTCTCCTTTCCCTTATCCTGGTCGCGAAGCTGGTCACAAAAGGGAAGGTAGGGCTCGCCGTTATTAGGATCACATCGTGGACCCCTAGAGACAACCACTCCCTTATGATTTATGTCGACTGAAGCGAGCCTTGCAGCAAGCGACTGAGAAATTTCGATAGGTCTTCTTGATTTAAGTGTCAACTCCCTTTCATCGGACCGTCTCGTTTGCGCTGTGTTGTCCGCGGTGACGCTGGCTGCGAGCGCCAGTAACATGTAAGGGAAATGCATAACGAGTGATGGGACGGGAATCGATGTCTGGAACCCAAAACTGACCACAAGGCAGATGAAGACTATAACACAACTAGGTTCATAAAGCTAAAGACTAGCTAGCCTATTACAAACGAAAGAGGATGTGAAGAGGGTAGTTGGCTAGGTACCTAAGCTAAGTGGGAAGAAAGGATAGCGGTCTATCTTGTTGGACATCCGAGCGCCGAAGGACTTTGCCAAGGGGTGTTTGTTCCAGCCACCAAAAGCCCCAAGAACCGCAGCTCGTTGCAGCAACTTCACGGGGTTTACTTCGTACTAGCTTATCCTGTTGAAAGGATTGATAGGGCGTACATATAACCAATTACGAGGGAACAGAAGCTGCACTGCCCCGATGGTGGAGGATGCGCGAATCAGCTCGTTCTAGTGACACGTCTTACACGGGGCTCCACATAAGAAATCGAGAATACTATAGCCCATAGCCCCGAAGTAGGATGGGGAACTGCTGCTGCGATTATTGCTTACGGTCTGGCAAGTTTGGTATGTAAAATAATTCCCCTATTGTTTCTCCCGGACGTGGGGCGGCGAAGGCCGGAACTGATGCCGAGACTCGCACTGGGTCGTGCATATCGGGGGCCGAGAACTTATGTCAATCTATAAATTGGTCTTCAAGTCCATTCTCAGTCTTATCAATATTAAGACAAGTCTATACTTTTAAGCAAGGCCCTAGTAAACCACACATGACTCGTTTAACCTAATGGGCAGGTCTAGGAGGTTAGATATTGCGGTCTTTATGCAAGCGGACGGCACTCCCTAGCCGACTTAGAGGTAAACGCGTGCACACCGTGGCTGAGACCTCGCACCGCAGCATCCGTAAGAAAAGGAGTTCTTATCTAATCCGTCGATAATCAATAACCGTCTACGGTTTAGATGTTGTGACGGTATCTTCCCTCGCGCTCATGGAGGGTAGGATCCTTTTAGGGTAGGATCCTTTTAGGGCGGCCAGGGTGCAGCAATAACAAGATATGCTTTTGACATTTCATATTGGTTTCTTCTTTAGCACTGTAGATCGTTTCCTCTTGACGTCGACCATCTGGCTTCCTTTAGGGCCAATAGCCCCCACGTCCGAGTGGAAGCCAAGAATGGCTGACAGTTTCCACCTTTTAGATGCCATGCCATGCCATGCCATGCACAAACACGCAGAACGATGTTCGTGAAAGGCTGTTTTTTTCTTGTTTTCATGACGCTCGCCCTCCTTGGTTACTCCGGATGAGAGTTTCTACTGGGCGCCAAGCACCGAATCAGGGCTTCGGTCAACCGTGTAATAAGTGCTGACAGTGCAGCTAAATCGATAGCGTGCGTTGGGCATCTAGAGAAATGGTAGGCCCATTAGGCATGGTGATAGACAATGCAGCGATGGTAAGAAGTCGGCCCCGACGAGACCGCCTCTTTTTTCATCAATAGCTTGAGTGCTACGAAACGTTATAAGGGCTTTATTTTAATTAATTGAACCACGAGGCTGGCCTGACACTAGACCCGAGGTCGTACCAAGCCACTCGATGGCAAGCGAGGAAATATGTAGCGATACCTACATCAAGCCGGCTTAAATGAGACCGGACATACGAACTCGCTGCGTTTTGAAACATCGTTCGGCCTCCCACATTTTTAATATGCAATACACTATGCCGATTATTGACCTCCTAGCGGGTTAGAAGTTTAATTCGAGATTGCACAGCCGGCGGCCCCATCAATGCTACTTGAAGTCCTTAAGAACCTCTCCATTAGGTACGAATTACATTTAAACATAACGACTCAACTAGACGCCTACCTAAATCATATACAAGAAAATATCAAGAATAGCTGATAAGGCTGTATGCAACAAGGTATAGGTATAGATAAGATGCCGGTACTTCAACAGACCTGCATATAAGCGAAGATCGCTGTGGCATCCGATATCGAGACAATATAAACATGTGATTGGTTCCCCGGCACGGCAGTGGTTAGATAGCCGTGTTTGCCAATTTATACTTATTTTTCTTGTTGGCCGCCTTTATTTAGACATGGATATACGTATACGCACCAAGAATATCACACTTGTGGAACGCCGCCATAGTGACACGATATTGGGGTTGACATCTACTGCACCCCTGAGATGAGACAATTATTGTCAAGAGAACTACTCCTATCAGAAAGGTATCCATCGGCCAACCTCGTGTCCTCGAACCTTTTCAACCCCTTACCATTTTTATTACTGGCAAAAGGCCAAACGTATGAGAGATGAGCCGTTGAGTATACAGCCAGTCTTTTAAGGGGTGGAAATAAAACTCATCCATTTCCAGGCGCTCTGTTATATATCCAGCTAAGCTAGGACCACTATTGGTTGTAGATGAACGGACCAAGCAATGTGCCCCCTATCCTAAGTGACCGTTGGGGATTTGAGCTTCCTTTCGTTTTCGTGGCTGGACTGGCCGCTAATTCCACCATCAATCCCGTCTAGAGATTGATTAGGTACCTAGGTAGTTATTCTTATTAATAAGTTTCTTCATGAGACTACATGGTTTATAGATAAATCGGCTAGGTTGATAATATAAAATTGTTTATTTTATAACTATCCGATATACATATCCAGGGTTTCATACTTTAGGTAAACAAGCGATCAAATACGTTCGTCTTTCTCTTAAATATATTATTCTAATACTATTTAATACTAGAACTTTGTAAATTACCTTGAACCCTTACAGACTTAAGAATGGAACTTAGTAACATCACTGAAAGGTTCAAAATCGTTCATTGCGGATAAATCATCTCATTGAGGTAAACTTGATAAGAATCATCTTCCAAAATCCCAACAAATCCCATTCCCATTCATCCAGCCATCTCTTCGTGCCACTCATTCAAAGCTATAGGAACCTAAACAATCAAGGACAGACCCCCCAATGATTCATGATATTATCGAGCTGGAGAGAAGCAATGGTAATTGACATAAAAATGAAATCATTTCAGGGTATTACCCTCTCCCGTCCCCTTTCTTACTTATCCCGCCCTATATATCCTCTATTAATTATAGCAATGCCATAGGGTATATTCACCGGGATCAGGCGGCATATCTATTAATTGATGACAACGGCGCTTATTTCTTCACAATAGTAGTTAGCATCACATATATCATCAAATTTCTTTCAGGTTACTCACCTGTCTTCTGAATGATAGCCTGGATTTGCGGAACAAGGGACTGGTCGATGAGGGATGAGATGTCAAAGCCGCCAATGCCACCGATGAGACCGAGGTCGAAAACATTGAGCTGGATGGAGCTAAGGTCGAAGTTGCTGAAGATACCGAGGCCGCCAAGCTGGGACAAGAGAGCAATCTGCTGCAGCTGGAGGAGCGCGTTGATATCAAAGCCGTTGTTGGCGAATAGCCCCTGGAAGTTACCAATGTTGAGGTTGTTGAAGGCAGCCAACTGAGCAAATGATTGCAAGTCGAATTGGTTAATAGCGAGCAGGTATTGAAGATCCTGGTTGGCAAAGCCGAAGTTGTTGAAGGCGCCAAGGTCGACAATAGCTCGCTTCTCAGGGGTAGTGATAGCAGTAGGAGCAGCGGTAGCGACAGCGGCGAGAGCGCTAACAAGGATAGTGGTGGCCTTCATATTGAATAGGTATAATGAGTGTTGAGAGATTAAAATATTAGTCAATATGAGCACAGCTGTGTGTATCAGTTAGCCTTTTTGCTAGTAGCAGGATCTATTTAAGATCACTTGATATTATCTGACTTACCTCGAAAGTTCTAATGAGTGTATATAAAGAATGAAGCGAACGAGCACAGCTATCGAATGTTAGTTGAGGCTGTCGAACCAGTTGAAAGAAGACTCAAAACTTACCTCTGAAAGAATGAATGAGAGAATGGATGAAGAGGTCTGAAGATGTCTTTAGATTGGTTGGTGGAGTAGCTAGAAAAAGAAACAGATCTGGATGAGATGAACATCATCTTATATATCAAATGGCATGCCATGTTGATCGGATGGCACGAGGGCTAGAAACAACGCCAAGCTTTTGAGGAGACAATAATAACTCGGAACATCGTCGAAGGAGGGTTCCGGCGCGTGTCAAGATGTAGAAAGGGTTGGGCGGATGTGCGAGTAGTAAAACAAGCCGAGCCTAGGAGGGAACATATCCGGAATGGAGACATTCGACAGCTCGTGGGAATGTCTTGGCAGAAATAACCATGAGAATACCTTGGTGACTGCATCCTTGCATGGACGCAAAGCTCAACAGCCGAAGGCCCCTGTCGCTCATTACATGCTAGACTCTACGAAGAAAAGAGGTTGTCTAACGGGGGAGCTGTGGGTGACATTGGTTATTCACGGAAGCCTTTTTGCCGGAAGCCAAAGCGTAGATCAGAAGTGTATCTCAAGAGTAATAGTAGTCTAATTAACCTTGGCTGGGACAAGATCCGACTATGCTAATCGTCTGCCATGTACTATATCATGAGATATACTTTTCTTACTACCGGATTTCCCCGCATGACCTGGTGACTCTTTGACGCCGTTACATTAAGCTGGTTTAACAACTCGCTTGATCGTCGTCAAGGATTGGCGATATCGTTTCCCGCAATTTTCGCTATCGAAAAAATATAGCACGGTTAGTAAAGCATCTCAATAATATAGTAGAGAAAGGAGTTTGCCTAAAATTATTACTCCCAATTACTTTTCGTGTGTACAAAAATTTGACATGGTTTGTATAACTAGCGGATGAGTTGAAGTTGAAAGACTATCGCCCAAGCGCTGTCAAGTTCTTGGCAGTCTTAACTAGGACAGGGGTTAAATGCAGGGTCTGCTTTGACTCTCAAGGTGCCGACTAGCCGGCAATACAGACCTGGGTTCGGGTTTTCAAGAAAGTACTTCTCGGACCTGCTATTCACTCTTCCGGATGGCGTATCGAGAAGTGACAATCCCATCATGATCAGGGTCATCCTAATGACAGGGCTATCAGCCAATCATAGAGTCATGTTACCCATTTTGACGTCTTGAAGACCCCAGATCCACAGGGGTCTCTGTCACTTCTCAAGAGATCTCCCGGCACGGCACTAAGGGAGCCTGGACCAGGTCTGTTCACCTATCAGTCTAGGGTCTCGATGCTACCCCGAGATCCCGTTCCTGGATATCGGATGTGTTACAGATACGACACACAGACCTAAGACTGTATACTTCTTACATATGCCATGTAACTATACGCCTTGGTCACGGCTACACTGGAACTTGACATATCCGAACTTGGTACAGAACACATGGTAATGTTTTAGGCGCAACAGTTGTGTTCATCTGATGATGTTGGGTCTAAACAAACTTGTTTCTTCGACTCACCTTATCCATGGGTTTCCGTGCTATCATGTCAAGTCCCATTGGGACGGATAGCTCCGTATTCGAGTTTGAAGATACATAAAAATATAACAAATAGAGTACGTACATAGAATGCAATTTTTCCTCTGGACGTATCTAGACTTATGTATAGAAAATCCCTATTTGCTACTTAGTTTATTCAGCTTTAGCTACAGGTAGTCTGTAAAACAGCCCATTCCAAACTATCTCATAGATAACTGACGAATAGAGATATCAGAAAAAAGGACACTGCAACTGTATGTCTTAACTAACCTAGGTATCTAGGTAGGTAGGTAATAATCTCTCTCAAGTTAAGCCACTCATTATACCTAGTTGGAAACAACTTTGGGTAGGGACACAGATACAATTAAAATTTCAGTAGATTCTAATTTACAAGTCTACCTACCTAATGGACTTATGATTCTGACCATAGCTAGACATAGTTTGACCTTGGACTTCGAACGATCCAGTTTTTCCTTGTAGTCATATGCTCTTAGTTACCATTGTTCTTGTTCCGACACTCCTTTCTAGCCACAATAGTGCGCTTGTTCTCACGGCTAGCTTGCTTGACAGATGCACTAACAGTACGTTTAATGATTTCTAGACGTCATTAGTAAATCGTTTCTACCAAGTCAGCTTTACTAGGAAGGGCTTACTAAGGTTAAAGTTGTTAAGGAGAATTTCCTGTCGAATGAGCTGCTCAATGGAGAATGAGTTGACGAGTCCAAGTTGTTGAAGCTGAGCAAGTTGCTGGAGTTGAAGGAGAAGCTGGATCTGGCTCCCGATACCAATGCTACCGATGCTACCGATGCTACCGATGTTAAAGTCGCAGATGCCTAGCGAGAGCATGAGATTTCCGATATTCTGCTCAAGATTGCCCTTAATATCATTCTCATTGGCGTTGTCGAGATTCTCCTCAAGGTCCTGATCATCATTCTGGTTGTCTTTTTCATTGTCGTCCTGATTTTTGTTCTCTTCGTCGGCATTTTGCTGATCATCAGCGCTCTCTTCATCGTTCGCATCATTGTTATCATTGTTCTGGTCGTTATTGTCTTCGGCATCATTCTCAGTGCCATCCTTGTTGTCTTCGCCTTGGTCAGAATTAACCACTTCGGTGCCGTTTCCAGCGGCAGTGCCATTAGTTGCTAGCCCGGAACTCAGCACGGCAACTGAGCCCTGATTTGCGGCGAGTCTTTCTACAGCAAGGATGCTGGGCAAGTAGGCAATCAATGCCAACGTGGTGAAAAGGGGACCGGCCGTAAACTTCATCTTATCGTTAGGTATGTATAAATATTATAATAAATATGCCGCTAGAAAGTTTCACATTAGCACATACTCTAGTTCTATAGCCAGAGCCAGAGGACGTACTTTCAAACGGGGTTAAAGACGGAAGAGAATCGAAAGAGCGCAGCTACTATTCGTCAGTTACGAGCTAAGAGATTCATGGTCTGTAAATACTATACCTCTGAAATATGCGGTATTAAGGAGTGTGGTGTTTGCGAGTTTTATTGAATGATAGGATAGTAAGATTTCTGAGTTGGAGAGTGCGTGGGTTATATCTTCACTCTCAAGTACCAATCGCTCCTATACTCCTATGACTCCCCTACGTCTTCATGTGAGAAGGCTCATGGGAACTTTAGCTTTGATGCCATGACCGAAACTTCATTTAGCTTGGCAGCAAATATTCTATTATCGCAAGTCAGTTAACATCAGATGTTACTTCATCAAGGAAGAGTAGGAGCATCACCGTGATCTCAAGACGAAGACGCCAAGCCTCCTGATCTACTCGGAAGGCATAGGTATTGTCAGTATTTTTCAGACTATGCCATATGCACATATAGAAACGCAGACTTCGGATGATGCTATCCGGGGTAGATTCTTAGGACGAGATAATCTTGCAGGATATCTTGAAAATTGTTTCATATTGTACCGATTCAATGGTAGGAGGTATACTGGACGAGGTTTGGATCGATTCGGATGACTGACAGGCCATCCCCATGCCAAGAACTATTCCTAGCCGGGCGCTATGCTTTCCGAGCTTCTGCCTCCCGTGTCTTAGGTACATATTAACATATTCTGATACCGCAAACCCGCATGATCGGCATTCCGAAGTATGACCCAATAGCTTGTCCGTATGGATTGTGCTAGGCCAAGGTGACTAAACCTTTCCTTTTAAAATCTAACTATTAATTATATAATACCTATTTCACACCTACTAAATCGACTCGATACGCTCGCTTGTCTATTTACATATTCCATCATGTGCATAGGGACATGTCGTGCCTTGATACATTAAGGCTTGGAGGATAGATAATAGCGAGACTATGAAAGGGCAAGAAAACTACCTAAGATGCGTTATGAATGTGATTTCTAGTAACCACATGTGTACCATCTTAGGGAGTTATCTTGACAGATACCTCCTTGTATTTGCCTTAGGTATATCTCTAGCAAACATGTATAGATGGATATGGATACCTAGGTAGGAATAATTTAACAACACCAGCCACTTTTCTAGAGGTGGGGGTCACAACTCATCGTAATCCAAAATATTGGTAAACTTGTTCATAATTTTTTCCTCGTCCTTTACTTAAACTGGAGGGGCCTTCCATCAACTGGTCTCTGAAACTATCTCTATGGTCTTGTGACTGGGACGGTTGCAAACAACCAGCTGTTCAAAGAGCTGGAAATTGTCCCCTCTGCAATAAACATCTATGTCGAACTCATCTGCGGGACGAATGGCACGAATGGCACGAATGTCCCAAGCCAGAGGCACGTATATCATTGCTCCAGAATATGCGAATCAGACCTAAGTAACCCATTGGGGCGGGTTGGCTATATCTTGATGGAAAAGATGGAAGGAAAACCTTTGGATTGGCAAGGGGCAAGCCCGTCGCAGAGAAAAAAAGTCATGCAGCAATTAGTCGACATATTTCTTGAGATCGAGAAGCACCCGTTCGATACGATGGGGTCAATAGTCCCAGCTAACGACCCAACAAGGTACGAGATACAGGGTATTGCTCACCATGAAGTGTATTGTGTAGGAACTACAGGGCCCCTGGGCCCTTTTCACTCTTCGCTAGAGGGAGCCGGCGCCCTTATCAAATTGTACCTTGCTATGATAGCAAGCGGCGAGATCGAGGCTACTTATCCGATAGATGTTTTCCTCATGCATCGCTTTCGTTCAGATCTTCTAAACGATATCGGGAAAAATGCTTCATCAGGGGGACCCTTTTTCTTGAAGCACCCTGACGATAAGGGCGACCACATCCTTGTGAACGAAGATTTCCACATCGTTGGAATGATAGATTGGGAGTGGTGGCAGACAGTTTCAAAAACCCTGACCTTATAACCTCCTATCCAGAGAAACACCAACATTAGCAATTATGTTGAGTTTACTATTAAATACCTATTTTACCGTGAACGACTTTAAGGAGCGTCTTCCTCGGAAGTTGTCACGAATAGATGGCATGTTTCTATACAGTTAAACGATTCTACCAGCTCATACAATCCCGCTATGGTATGTAAGTTATGTAACATCCATGATTCCACTATTGCTCCTAAGGAATACTGTTGCTAAACTGCCGGAACGTAAACGGTAAGTACAGTTTTATCTTTAACCTACCTAACTACCTAGTAAAGTTGCAACAATTGCCAGTTTAGTTACATATCTCCACATCCTCTGATGCACATCATTCGTCGCTCTCGCCAGGAACTCCGCCATTTACATAGATGAATTTCAGTGGATTCGACGGAGTTCGTATTATTCAAACGTCTGAGAAGGACATCTACTAAGCCATATTTCTAACGCTAGATACCTTATGATTGTGGGACATAACACGGTTAAAGACTAAACCACTCAATATCGATCTCCTCAGCCGTGAACCGGTTCACATCCGAGGCTGGGAATGGATCAAGCCCTGGCGAGTTGCCATTTTATAATGACTAATATAACCGGTCTCCGTTCTGAAAAATTGGCTGTTAAGATATAAGAAGAATTTGTGCTACCATCATGGCCTGCCATTTCGAATAACCCAACATTTCTGCTGGAGGGTGGTTTTGGGGTGTTCCAATGCCAAACATGGAGAAGGCTACCTTTTTGGCGAAAGGCCAGCTCCCTTGGTTGTCCAACAAAGGTATTGTTAAACTAAACTTGATCTTGCTTATATCCCTTATTTCAAGCTGTTCGTGCGGTTGCGATACTTCAATGATGAATGGTTTACAGTCATTAGACACATGGAAAGCATCTTTCAACAATCCAGGGGCTATCGAGCTTGGGCTGTAAGGGGCATCCATAATAACGTCCATCTCTAATGTTTATTGTGATTTACTAAGACCCCATAGTCTTAACGCTATCCAAAACGTGGGCCAGTTGATCTCTCTTCCATTTTGTGCCGCGAACTGCGACTTATACGGCCGTCGGAATGCTCTCGTCACTAGTGCCGCTATAGTTCTGCTCGGCGCTGCCCTCCAAGGTGGTGCGCAGAATACCGCAATGTTCATTGGGGCAAGAGGTGTCCTAGGATTCGGCTTAGCTTTGAACATCACAGCTGCACCACTCCTGATTATGGAGCTTGCATACTCTCCTCACGCCGCACCTCTAGTCAGTAGTATATATAACAGCCTATGGGGCCTGGGATCGCTGATGGCTGCTTGGATCATGTACGGTTCGTTTCGACTCAATAGTGACTGGGCATGGCGAATCCCCTCGCTTCTCCAAGGCATGACTAGTGCTATACAAATTGGGCTTTGCTTCTTGATTGAGGAATCACCACGCTGGCTCATGTCTGTTAATCGAACTCAGGAGGCCCACGACCTTATAATTAAGTACCATGCTAATGGCGACCCCAGCGACCCGATAGTCGCATTGGAACTCGAGGAAATTCGCATAGCCCTTCGTGTTGAATCTGAGAATAGGAGGTCAACCTCGTATCTGTCCTTTTTTTCAGACTCGTGGAAATCGACGGCGCTTTTTCATCGTCCTAGCAGTCGGCTTTTTCAGCCAATGGAGCGGAAACGGCATCATCTCATACTACCTCACGTTGATCCTCGACTCTATCGGCTATAAGACTCAAGAAATTCAAACCTTGATCAATGCCATGGTGACACTTTGGAGCTTAATTGTAGGCGTCGGATTTGCCTTGGTGGTAAATCGGTTTAGACGTCGTACGCTCTTCCTCGTCTCTACTGCGGGATGTTTGGATGTGTTATGCGATCTGGACGGGTCTAGAGGCGACGTATGAGAAGTCTGTAGATGCAGATGGCACTAATATTCAACCAATACGCGAATCCGGTCGGCATCGAAGCTTTGGGTTGGAAGTTCTACATCATCTACGATGTCTGGATCTTTATTGAGTTGATCGTTGTCTACTTCCTCTTTGTGGAGACAACAGGAAAGGCGAATTTGGAAGAGGTTGCAGCTATCTTGGACGGGGAGAGTGTAGAACCCCCGTTGGAAATAACCAACGAAGGCAAAACTGGGAACGCAGTCATAGCTGTAGCTAACACTCACTAGAAATAGTGATACCAATGGCATCTTTTCGATTATTATCTGGGTTTACCTGAGGTGTCTTGATTGTTACTTGCCCTGGGGAACGATTAAGCTAGAGTAAGTGTTAAAAAGGCAGGGAAACGAAATGGAGATATTAAAAGAGACAAGGAAGCTATAAGAAGGGGGAGGTGCTCATATAGACTTTATCAATGATATATACGCGATGCCATCATATGACTGCTTGTCTGGAGCATCCTATACCCTCCGCAAAATTTGTTAATATATTACGTTGGGAATGTTTCGTCGTGGCGCCAGCAGTTATAAGGATAGTGACTCTCCGGGCTTAGTCTCCATCGCCGTACCCGGCCGAGAGCCTTGCGGAGGTTGACATGGAACTCGACCGCGGATAGCTGGTGGATACGATGACGCCTAGCATGCGAAAAGACCTACCCTATAATGAGTAACGTACCCTGAGGTATACCATTAATCATCTCGAAGTAGTCGTCACTACTATGGGCAATACCCTAGAGTAGTTCCTAAGAAAAGCACATTCGTTCGAGCGTTGCAAAGGCTTAAAGGATAACCAACTAGGCTAGATTTGCCATGAAAGAAGACAGTGCGACTACATATGCGCCGGAGCCGGGCTTACTCGACCGCTTACCCTTAGCCTTGCGCTTATAACACCAGAGCTAGTGATATGAACTGCGTCCGTTGACACGCCCGTGTCGCAGATGTCGTGGAGAGTGAAGAATCATGATCTGTATTGTGGCTAGCACACAGTATTATATTCCGCCAGGGTTGCAGTATAGTGATAGAATGTACCCCTTATACGGATTTGTATCGCCATCGGGTATTGGTGCCAGTTAATGTTGGCGGAGTCGGGAGGTCCTTTATCTGCCTGGCCCTTGTCGGGTAGGGACTTGGACTTCGGCTTGGGGTCGATAACAGTTTGGTGTTGTGTGTATTTGAGGTCCCATTATGGTCCCATTATAAGAACATCGCGTGGGAAGGTTTCCTCCGGTCCAGCCATCCAGGTTATATACCTGTTACAGTAAGTCCCGAATCTTTCGAGCCTTTAAATCTTAAAGCTTTACATCGAAAATTGTGGTTTAGTAAGTTCTCGGCATATTAGGTGAACATTTCGGATTTCCTGACCTTGGCTTATCTTTGCCATTGAACGTAACCATGGTACTGTGAGAGTGGGACATCAAAGGGTCAAAGCCAATCCCAATACTCTTACCTACACTCGAGCCACTCTAACCCCACGTAATTCAAAAAGACCTCCCTTGTTATAATTAGAAACGGTTATCGAATACTGTCTACTGTCCTTAAAAGGTACCTACCCATGCTACACTACAAACGCTCGATATCTTCGTCGAGGGCGACTCCATGCGTACATGTAGATAGAAGATAGTTATGGTTTTGCCTAAACTCAAATGTGCAAGCAAGGGAGGTAATACATGAAACTCTAAGAACAGAGCGATCTAGCCCACCGGTACCACAAACGACATATCGCTATCGGGGTGCTCGGCCTTTACCTTCTTTGTCCGTTGGATTCGACTTCGTCCGTCTTCCAATCCGGCCTCTCCACGCTCACTCAATCTCAGAATATGGAAATGGCTTCCTGGAGCGTGCCCCTGAGAGAACAATATGCGCCGATTATCTCCTCGCCCTTGAACCCGTCAAGGCCCGAGGCATCGAAGCGACGTAGGCGGATATACTACGCCCAAGTCACCAGACGCGAACAGAGTCCGACACAGATATTGCTGCGTCGAAAGGCGAAAGTAGCATGGAGATTGACGTCTTCGAGGGACGATGGCATTACGAATCGCCCTCAAACGATACGCAATGCCACGGAGACCACGACGACTAAGCCAAAGGAGAACTATTATCCTATCGGAACTGTTGCGGAGTACTATTTACGGACGGATTTGGAATGCCATGACTTTGGCCTAGGCGTGGGCATGCGGAGGATGGATATGGAGAAGCAAGTATTTGCTGCTGGCGACTATCATGGGGGCTCGCTACCAGAAGCGTATCAGCTTTTGCACATGTTAACGACGTGGCGGTCAATAGCGACGATGGGGGTCTTGTGCATCGCTGGAGTTCTCTTGGCAATCCGCGTGGTCGGTATAGCTCAGGCTTGGCGAACGTGATAGTCATATCGTCATATATATTGCTCATGAGAGTGCTCTTTTTGAGAACTCCTGTCTGCTGCTCGGATACTATGGCAATGAGGAGCGAGGCCGGTTTATCTATCTGCCCCAACCAAATCCGGGTATCTCATTATCTATGAATTCGTGATCTTGTTATCATGAAATACCCTTTCGCCACCAGCTTCCCCGAGATCTATTTGCTTGAATTCCGGTACCATGTCATTTTGGCTTCTCCGTATCGGGCGGTTTGGACTTCTCTTCCTGTTCTTTTTGAATCGCTGTCTCGACTTGCCAAATCGCCCGTTCAAGTTCAACTTCGAGCTCCGGTATTTCTAGCGCCTTTACGAGCTGTCGCCTATTCTCTTGCGAAAGTAGCATTCGCTCCTCCGCAAATTCTTTGGAATTACCGGCAGTTGATTTGCTCGCTCTATCTGTGTCTGCTATTTGTTCTTTCGAAGCAAGAGGGTCAGGGAGGAGTGGAGCGTAGATCGAATCGAGTACTGGCGATGGGGATAAAGTTAAGAGATTCTTTTCGCAAAGGAACTGAATGTGTTTGCCGCCTGCAAGGGCTCGCCAATGCGACCAAGCTCGATACACCAGGTAAAAGAAAGGCAGGTTGGGGATCCTAATGGTATGTTGATTAGAAGACTGCAAAGGTACGATGTGCTACTGAGATAGGATAATACACTTACACCGGTACAAGAGCAAACGGTGCACTGATGGGCATTCCGATGAAGCACCACATCAACCTAGTTCTATGTAACGCTTCCCGTTCTGTCCCAAGGGTTCGAAGGACGTTTACCGCCTTTGTTGTAGGTATTACTGTTTCTGGGTAAATAAGATGGTTCTTGTCTTTTCCTAGCACTTCTTCTTCCCTCCGTCTAGTAGATAGAGGAGGTACCGATTTAAGGCCCCATTCCTCGAAAGGAATTCTTTTCAATAGGGAGTTACCATAGACCACAACTTTCTTCTGCCAACCATTCTCTTTTTTCTCCCAGTCAGACCAAAGCTGTGAAGCACGAACCGTAGCCTTGTCGACTAAGGTTTGCTTACTTTTTGGTAAGACTTGAACCTTCTGGCAATATAGCAGAGTTCGCCGGGTTGAGATAGGAAGGAGAAAGAATCTCATTATAGCGGGTGAGGGGAGGATATTGTATTGCGACGGGCTTGCGACAGAAACGGACGAGGATAGCGGCGAAATAAATTAGAATAAAGGTGTCGCAATGAAGCCTCGTTTACTTCATCTTTCTGTAGTCTTCGTGGAAATCATCGTGGCCACGTCAATAAGGTTTGCAAGCGGACTAGCAATGACGTTGAAAATGTAGATTTTAGACCCTTGTCGAATTCGGAGCAAGTTTCTACTTATGAGGCCCTGGACTTTTTAGGGTAGCAAATGAAGATTCTCTGGTGACGCATGTGCGCAGGGATAGGCTTTGTGGCTTGCATAATCTACGTAGTCGATTAGGTACATCTTACAGAGGTACATGTAATTAGACTTTTTGTAAAGCTAGATGTACCTAATATATTGGTAGTATGTAATTTTATAAAGATGTGGTGGTGTAACAGTATATGAATTTGTATCTTATGAAAATTGTGTGAGATTTAATATTAAATTTATAGTGATACAAAAATTGGATGAAAAGGGAGAAAATAATAATAGAATACTCCCTGTTGTGAACTTCATGATTAGGTATAAACTTACCTAAGGAAAAAGGAAGCCAAGAAACGGGCATGTACCTGTGGCTAGGACGATATAGCCCCACGGTCGGATATATGTTAGGTGTCTAACGTAATCCGTATTGTAAATCGTGCTCCACAGTGAGACGAAATCGATCCATCCCTGCGATTATACTCTACATCCCTGGTAAGTCTCCCCGGACAACGCGGTCCCTTGCTGTTGTACCTAGAGCTGACTTAATTTATTAAAAAGCTATCGCAACTTTTTGTCATTTGACTTCTCAGCTGCTCCTTATCTCATCTACACACAAAAAGACCGCGTTTGTCGTGTAACCATATTATATTTCCTTTTTTTTCTTTTCTTCTTTCCGTCTTCGATGTATGTAACGACAAGTTGGCATTGTCTATTGTTCATGGAATGGTTTTTGGAACTATCTATTTTAAGTTATACTTACATACCAACCTCCTTACTTACTTTATCTACCTAATCTAACTTAGTCGCGTTAAATCGAAGCCTTGCTTTGTCCTCGCTCGTCTTATGGTTATGCGCTTTGCGCTTTTCTCCACTCCCGACATTTGCGCCCATACATAGTATGTCGAAAGTTTGATGGAAGCTGGCGCCTACAGAAACTCATATATACCATACACACACCCGGCGCTATATCTGTACCTTTGGAGCGGTTCTTTTTCTACTCAACACGCTAATCAGTCACCCCACCTCTTCCACGTCCTGACGACGCAAGCTACCTAATGTATGTGAGAGGATGACTAGCAATTTTGTCTGCTTATTCGACTATCGCCGCCCTACTTCGCCTTTATCCTTAGATTTTCGCATCCCTATGCCTCTACTACACCGAGCATTGCGATGACCCGAAATCCTTTGCGGAGCACCGTGCCCGCTTGGGTGGAGTTGTATGATGAGCACGCTCATGGGCCGAGAAAGGACAAACACATTAATCCTCCTCCGCCAAGTGTCCGCCCGGAACAGAATAAAGGAAACCACTTAAAACGAAGGGTATCAAAGGATGGTTATGTTGACTGGGTCGACGAAAAACACGATCATGTATCTAAACTCCCCGTGTTTTTGAGGAAACGAGCCGACAGGCCAGGGCGACGATGGGATCATTTGCGCACGGCAGAGCCAGTTATTATGGGGCTCGGCTATCGAGCACCTAATGAAGATCCTTACGAGAGATGGCGGGGTTTTATCCATTCGTCTTCCTATGGACGAAATCCCGACGACGAGTACGAAGTGGTACCGTATGACGTCCTCGAACAACAAATGCCAGGTCTCGACCAGCCCGTACGAAGCCCGCTTCATCCGTTAGATCCCAAGACCAAGAGAAAATCTAGAAAGGATACTTGGGGGATGAAGATCTCGAATTTTGTACTGCGGCATCCAATAGCGCCGCTTATATTCCGTCTAATCGTTTTGATCACCACCATCGCAGCTCTTGCTGTAGCAACAAATATCTTCCAAAAAGAGAAGAGCCCAGAAACCCCCGACGACAATACCCCAGAGACTTCGCAAGCGATTGTAGCTATAGTCATTGACGCGATAGCTATTCCTTACATTTTATATATGACTTGGGACGAATATACAGGGAAACCCTTAGGACTTAGAGCACCAGCGCAGAAGATATCGCTAACGCTCTTGGACCTCGTTTTCATCGTGTTGAAATCTGCTAGCACGGCACTGGCTTTCGAAGCGTTGGTGTATCATAGTGGGGACGGTCTGTCGACAGTTCCTGAATGGGCAGCAATGGAGAGACTGTCTTTGCATTTGGCCAGGGGTCTTGCGGCGTTGACGCTGGTAGGGTTGATCGCCTGGATTCTGAATTTCACTATTAATGTTTTCAGATTGGCGGAGAAACTCGGCGGGATAGATAACGTAAATGAAAAATGAGTTAGGTAAATAGCTTATAAGGATAGCGTATAAGGAGATAAATATACCCCAAGATGATAACGTCAATATCATTTACGCTGATGGTTCTACAGAACATTAGCGGAATGGGTGAGAACAACTATTCGCAATACTTGACCTTAGGTGAGGTACCTAGGTACCTAACAGACCTTTAATGTGTTTGTGTTTAGGTGACTTCAATTGTCTTCGATCAAATGTCGGGCAGGCATTGTTCCTTATATGCTACCTCAGATGGCAGGCACACAACAGATGGGAAGCAATATCCTGTACTATGTAGGTACAAAGCTAAGGTGACGTGGAGGGGCAGGAGTAAGGATATTTTACGTAGGTACCTACGTACCTACCCTGCGCGTTAGGTAAGTCGAGGTGGGGGCGGAGACTAGCAACCAGTCGGCGCTAAACGGTTTCTGGTCGATGCGGGTCGGTTTGGCAGCCTTGGGGGACCGCGGTCATTTGCGGTGTCTGCCTTATTACAATTAGTGATGCGGCAACCTGAAATCAACTCCATCTGTTAATTCTCACTTGTAGCAGCTGTGACATCGATTTTCAACTTCTTTTGATTTCCGTTTCGGTTTCGATTCACTTTTTTTTTTAACTGTTAGTTCCTTTTAACACATTGTTTTACTTTCAAAATCATTGCGTCGCTAATTGTCCACCGAACAGTGAGCCTTGCTAGACTAAGGTCACGAGTCTGGAAGATTCACCACCTCAAAGACAATGTATGTACATTGTTTGTCTTGGTGTTCTCTATTTCCCCTAGCATCCATACCATATAAAACTTTCCAGACCCTCGCACCGAATTTGTTTCGCCACTATCTATAGAATCTATAGAATATTCGCGTGCCCTTTACACGACTGATTACCTACATCACTTTGATTGTCTTGTCTATTGCTGACTGAGTTTTGACATTCGCCCGTCTAGAGACCCGACTCCCATCTTCATACCCGAAAGCCATCTGCCTGTCTGTCTATAGTCCTCGTCTGGCACCCTCCTTGGGGGATATCTCTTCCGACATCTTATCACCATGTCCTTAACCGCGGCACGACCTATGCCCTCGGCGCCGAACCGAGAGGACATCGGCCAGACATGGGAGTACCTTCAGAGTGGTATTTCCAAGATTATGATTAATCTACAGGAAGGAATGGATATGGCCACTGTAAGTCTTAGGTATTGCTCGCATGGTTTTTTTTGCTAACATCTTCAATAGTACATGGGCATTTATACGTGAGTCTTTCAGTCTTGTTATCTAATTGCACGTATGCTAACGCGAGACAGGGCGGTTCATAACTTTTGTACATCACAGAAAGCTGTCGGTTTAGGTAGTTCCAGTGCCGTAGGACAGGCTCACAGAGGAGGTAACGACATTCCATCCCGAAATCCACAATCTCCCACTAACTTGAGCGAAGCGCATCTCCTCGGCGAGGACCTCTACAAGAAATTGAAGGAATACCTGAACAACCACCTCAATGGACTATACGAACAATCCAAGGGACATGCTGACGAGGCCTTACTGGCATTCTATATCAGAGAATGGAATAGATATACGGTCGCCGCCAAGTACATCCACCACTTGTTTCGATATCTCAACCGGCACTGGGTCAAGCGAGAGATGGACGAGGGAAAGAAGAATACGTACGACGTTTACACTCTACATCTATACCAGTGGCGCACCGAATTCTTTACACTCGTTAACAAGAAGGTTATGGATGCGGTACTCATGCTGGTGGAGAAGCAGAGGAATGGTGAGACAATTGAGCATAGGCAGATCAAGCAGGTTGTCGATTCCTTCGTATCCCTCGGTCTTGATGAGCACGATGCAACTAAGTCGACTCTTGACACCTACAGATTTCATTTCGAGAAGCCGTTCCTTGCGGCGACGGAGGAATTCTACAAGGCTGAATCTAAGCAATTTGTTGCCGAGAACAGCGTTGTAGAATATATGAAGAAGGCCGAGGCCCGATTAGCTGAAGAGGAAGAGCGTGTGCGCATGTACCTCCACAACGACATAGCGCTACCGTTGAAGAAGACATGCAACAAAGCCTTGATCGCTGACCATTCCGCAATGCTAAGGGATGAGTTCCAAGTTCTCCTCGACAACGACCGAGAGGAAGACATGGCCCGTATGTACAATCTTCTCTCTAGGATTCCGGATGGGCTAGAGCCACTACGAACGAAGTTCGAGGCTCACGTTCGCAACGCGGGCCTTAACGCGGTTGCAAAGGTTGCTTCGGATGCCGAGAAACTTGAGCCCAAGGTCTACGTGGAAGCTTTGCTTGAGACACATACCCGATATCAAGGTTTGGTGAAGCGCGCATTTGCCGATGAGCCGGAGTTCACAAGGTCTTTGGACAATGCCTGCAGAGAGTTTGTGAACCGCAACGAGATCTGCAAGGCAGGGAGCAGCAAGTCTCCCGAACTTCTCGCCAAGTATACCGATGTGTTACTGAGAAAGAGTGGGGCTGGCGTGGAAGAGGCTGAACTCGATGCTACTCTGACGCAAATCATGACCGTTTTCAAGTACATTGAGGACAAGGATGTATTCCAGAAGTTCTACTCGAGAATGTTAGCCAGACGTCTGGTGCACAGCAATTCCTCATCTGATGACGCTGAAACAAGCATGATAAGTAAGCTCAAGGAAGCATGCGGTTTCGAATATACAAATAAACTGCAGCGCATGTTCCAGGATATGCAAATCTCCAAGGATCTCAACACCGGATTCCGAGAGCATACCAAGGGCCTGCAATCAGAGAAGCAACCACTCGACTCTTCGTACTCGATCCTGGGAACCAGTTTTTGGCCTCTGACCCCCCCTAATACGACGTTCAACCCGCCAGCCGAGATTCAAACCGACATTGATCGATTCACACTCTTCTACAAGAACAAACACGAAGGTCGTAAGTTAAGCTGGCTATGGCAACTCTGCAAAGGAGAGCTCAAGACCGGCTACTGTAGGCAATCAAAGACGCCCTATACTTTTCAAGTGAGCGTTTATCAGATGGCTATTCTTCTGCAATTCAATTCGAAGGATGCCCACTCGTACGATGATATCGCATCGGTTACCCAGCTGACTAGCGAGGTTCTGGATCCTGCCCTCGGTATCCTTCTCAAGGCCAAAGTTCTTCTTATGAAGCCTGACGGCGAGAAGCCTGGTCCCGGAAAGATGTTCCATCTTAACTATGATTTCAAGAGCAAGAAGATCCGTGTCAACCTTAACGTTGGCACCAAGACGGAACAGAAGCAGGAGGAGGCCGACACCAACAAGACGATTGAGGATGACCGTCAAATGGTCTTACAAGTAAGTATTCACATAACCTTTTTTTCCCTTTCCCTCTTTCGCCTCTCGCCTTTCCCCTTTCCCCTTTTAAATCCTCCGGGTTCTCCAGTAATAGTACTACTATCTTTGTCGAGGTGCTAATCAATATTATAGTCTGCTATTGTCCGAATCATGAAGGCACGAAAGAAGATGAAGCACAACCTACTAATTACCGAGTGTATTACTCAGATCAGGTCACGCTTTGTGCCTAAGGTTGGTGATATCAAGAAGTGCATCGAGATCCTTCTTGACAAGGAATACTTGGAGCGTTTGGAAGATGACGATCTCGGTTATCTCGCTTAAGACAGACATGAGCCCTTAGTCTGTAGCATAATTGCATTATACTCAGGCATATTCCCCCCGTATTCTTTCTCCTGGCATCCGTCGACGGCGGCGGCGGCGGCGGCGGCGGCGGCGGTTATATTCCTCATGACACATTGCGACGGTGGTGTAATAACGAAAGCCCGGAGGTTGGCTCTCCAAACGGACACTCGGAAGGCGCTTTTTTATTTTTCTTCCTGGTTCTTGGTTGGTGGGCTATCTGACGCGAGGCGGTTTTCGGAACGATCAACTAGACTTTATTACGCGTTTGACGAGGCCCCGAGTTACTACAGAATGCGACGACAAGCTGGGCACTTCCCACAATACGTTTGACGGAGAGACCAGATTTGGCACGAGGAGAAGAGGGCTGTGTCGTGTACAGAACGGAAACGCCTCGCTTATAGCACCGCGGCTAGCTAGCTGCTCCTTGCTTCCCCCCTCCTCCTCCTATTTTCCTACATATACCTAGGCTTAGGTAGCTAGGCCGAACCCCGGGTCGTCGTGATGAGTGCTAGTGATGATACCTCAGGCGTCCCGAGCAGCTCCTGCTATACCATCTGGGTCTGTGTCTAGGTGGAACCGCAAACCCCATAGATACGAATAAATACTCTACATCTACGTGCGCTAGTGTTTGTGTTGTGAAAATGATGTCTACTTTACTTCGATATACCTGTGTTTACTTTACTCCCTATCAATAGCCTCCCGGCGCCTAGGTACTTAGTTTTCAAAGTCACACATGTCTGCGTGGAGTAAGATTGCGGTTGGATATTCCCAAAGCCACCTGGATTCAAGTATCCCCATAGGAACTAACCAGTAATACCGCATTGAAGTATATTGAACAAAAATGCTCTCGTAGTATCAATTCCCGGAAATAATTAGTGTACACATATCAATCAGCTACGATATCTCGATATCCCCAGTATCACAAAAGAAAGGCGACTAGGCTACAGCATATCACCGAAAAGCGACACCGACGTAACGATTTTTTTTCTTTTCATCATGAATTTCTTTCCGACTTCGTAGGAGCAGACGAATTATCGTCTATCTACCTAGGTAGGTAGCTAGCTAGCTAACTTGGAACATCTACTATGAACGTTCATTTATCCTGCCTATTGAGCGAGGTTGGGCATTTGTTTAGTCTTATTTCCCTGGCCCGTATCCAAGAGGATAGGGGTAACCAGGTCATATCTCTCATACTCTATATATATATATATACCTCTCTTTCCTGCCAGCGCTGGTCGCGGTATAGTGAAGTTGCATCGTTGCTCTTCCCATTCGTTGACTCGTAGAACGTAGTTCGTCACCTGATTAATTATCCAGCGTCCCTTTTAGACCCGCCTTCGTCGTATATAATTTGATCGCGCATAGGTTGATTCCACAAGCTAATTACTACGTAGTAGTTTCGGACACTTTGGATTCCTCCCGTTTAGTATCTTCTTTGATATCATCCTTCTCTTCAGTAGCTACCTTGGCATTATCACCATGGTCATCGCTGTCGAGTTTCACGTATTCATTCCTACCATTGCGTTCCAGAACGGTGCTTTTTCGTGGACTGCCCGCACTGGAAGACCCGCTTTCGTCAGCCGAGCCCGCGGCATCGAGCAGGCTCTCGTCAAAACTATCTTGCGTAAGCGGCCTTCTCTCGTGACCCTCGCTGGCTCGGTGCTGTACATCTGACATTTGAATCTTCTCCATGCTGGTAAAGCCGCGTGAAGAAAGTGTAGGACTGCTTAACGGCGTGTTCTTTTCGCTGCTGGAATCTGTGTTCCCAGACCTTGATTTACGACTACCAAATCCCCAACCACCACCGCCACCTCCTGTTCCATTGGAAGTATTACTCGATCGGCCCCATCCTTGCTTCCGCTTCTGGTCTGCCCAAGAAGTCCAGCTTCCAATGTAAGCGCCGGCTCTCGCCCCAACGGAACTCGGTGTACTTTGAGTCTTTGTTGAATCTGCATTAGGTGCTGCGGTTCCATTCTTCTCTGCCGTAGCCTGAGTCGCTTGGGACTCTTCGGCACGCTTCCTTTGCGCCTCACGGAGGGCCTCCATATCGGCATATAGCTTGTTGAACATAGTACTTGCTTTATCGCGCCCCGCTGCCAGATTCCTGCCTAGCACTTCCCGGCCAACTGCGAATCTTTCATCCAGATGTAAATCTTGCACCTGCTGCTGAATCCGCCGTTGGACATCATCAATTGAAAGTCCGCCAGCGCAAGGATGCCTCGGTTCCACAATGTCAAATAGATTCGAGTCCGTATGCGACTCCCATATCCTGTAGTTTTCGGTTCTCATCCAGTATTCCACCCATTCATTACCAAAGTCTATAGAGGGGTCTCCTTCGATATGCGGAAGGGTTGCTTTAGGATTGTGTGCGTTTTTAGCGAGGTAATTATGATATTTGACGGAAGAAATGAGAGATAGGAGGTATTCTTCAAACTGAAGACGGATGAATTCTTCGCTACCACGATACCCCATCGTTTTCGGCCGGCCTGGATTGGATTCGTCCCATGTGTCATTTACCTCTTGTGTGACAAAGTCGATCCATCGTCTGTCAGAGTGGGAGAGCACTAATGCAGTGCGAAGTGATGTAGAAGTAATATTGATCGTGCTTTCGTCGAGATTGATTAGTATGTCGCTATACCGGTCTCTTTGCTGTAATAGTAATGAGTTCGTACTGCCAACTATATATGATTTCGTGCCGAAGTCTGCAAGGATATCCAATTGCTGTAAAGGCGTATATGGCCCGAATAGGCTCCCCTATATAGATAATTAACTCATGCCCTTATTTTTAAGACAAACTGTCTTACCTTGCCGAATATTTGCAATGGGAGTCCCATGTATGAGAGCAACGAGTTTCGATCACTAGTTCTCAAACTCGTCGGCTGAGTCAAATTCTTCTCGTAGTTATTCAGCTCTGGCCCTGCACAATCTTGGAGATTCCTAAGCAATCCGGGTATTAAAGAGATGAGGGAGAACTGCATCATGCACAGGCGCTCACACCGTGAGCCGAAGAAGAGCATCTAGTTTCCTAGTGAGTATAAGTCGGGTCGATAACGAACCGTATTTGACTGCTTACCTTCGGCTGCAAGAGGCAGCACTTTAAGAGCACTAAAGTCTGCCAGCGGAATTCCCTCACAAGTTCTCGGAGGCTCATGCCTAGGTATTGATCCCTGTCTACTTCCTCGTTCATCTGGCCGCGCGCCTTCTCCTCGGCAAGGCTCTCCTGGAACCTTCGCAGGATCTCGGTATCACTGAACTCGCGCTGGGCAAACCACGCACTGGTAACAACAGATAATCGTTCCCTCAGCATGCCAAAGAACTGTGGGCTATCTGCTATTACTACGACTGCCTTCTGCACCGTTGAGCGCGTCACGTCGGAGGGCCGAACCAGCAATTGCGAGGCGTCCAATTGTCTCGTACATGCTATTCCGAAGAGCGATGTCGCAGGAGAGTCGTCTTTAGCCGGTCGTAAAAGAGTGAAATACGAGAAGTCTTCGGTCGATCTATATGGGCCAATAAGCTCAGATTTGTACTAGATACAGATAGATACTATACTGAAAAGTAAACTCACGCATGGGCTCCGTCGCTTAAAGCCATAAACGGAAGCAATGGCCAGTCATACTCGACTGCTGGGTCCTGTCCTTCTTCTACTCCAAACCATCTCTCAACTTCAGGGCCTCTGTGGTGGTGAAAATCCACAACCGTTACTAAAGGCACGAAGCCTGCTCTACTGCTCTCGGTTCCCTCCCCAACAGGGCCAGAATTGGGCGTAGCCATAATAAATACCCGCGTGCCTAGAGGCAACCCAAATTACGGACGAAAGAGACGCGCACGCGGAAACTCGGGGGAAGTAGGTTGTCGATAATAAACGCGTATAAGTCGATCGTGGCAATTCCGAGCTAGCAACAATAATTTCTTTACTTCGAGCCGTAGACAGTTAAGAGGCTCGGCGGAACGAGCGGAGGCGGTGAGTTGGTAGCATACAGAGTCTCGGGGAATATAAGTCTGGGCAAAGGTGCGGCGGTTAAGGAGAACCAAGTCAAGATTCTCCAATAGCGGGACAGAGATGTAAGTTCGTCAATGCTCGAGACTAGCTGAATGCCTAGAATCGAGTCGGATTGGAGCTAGGCTGGAAAGTTTAGTGATGCCAATGGCCAGTTTCCAATCCAGGTGTAAGCAGGTTCCTAAAGGTCTGACAGCAGTTTCTCCCGTCGACGGTCAACAAGGAAATGTTAAGAGAGGAAAAATAACAAGGCAGCTCAGCGTAAGATCACATAAATGCCATTGGTGGAGTAATATACATGATCTTCAATGCCTCGTGCGGCATCGAGATGTTGTTTTCATGTAGCGGACTGTTGTTATGGTATGTATGTGTGTGTATGTACGTATTGTATTTTTGTATTGTATTTTTGTATTTGCTCATGGAGAAATTCCAGAAGATTGGATAATATCGATTTTCTTTCAGGTGTTGCAGGGTGGTCCCACGCCCAATGAATTAGCGATGTCAGCGCTGCTACAAGACCCCACCTACCCATTACCCACTATCCACTATCCACTATCCATTTGCCCACCGCGGTCAATTTAGGAGGTACCTAAGTGTCAATTGGTTTTAGCACCGATACACATGTAAGAACAGCCCGTAGATGCGTGCCTACCTGCATTGTGGAAGTTCCATGCAGACATCATCTTCCAATCACGTGTAGCGATTAGGATTTTGCGACGAACCCTTTTTATTTATTTATTGTTCTTTACAACACTCGCGTTAAGTTGTACCGTCCAACCTACAGCCAACTTACAGAAAAGCTGTACCGACGCCATAATTCCATATTACTAGTATTACTATTACTTACATTAGATATTTATAACAACAACACCAGCTAGGTACATTCTTCAACAACAAAAGTCCCCTCCGGATATCCCGCTGCCGCGTTCTCCTTCGTCCAACCCGCGCTAGGTCGGTTTAGGGGGGCTACGAAAGAAAAAAGATGTGGCGATATGCCATGCCAACTGTCTTGCATTGCATAAACGACGTCGACTTATCATAGCCCTTCCCGCATCGCAGCATCAACTGTTTGCCAAGCCCCCGAACGTTTGTTCATTAAAACCTACCGATCCTGCAGTTCGACGGAATATCCCACCCCCTTTGAGTCAGTCTATGTATGTGTGCGTGTGTATGTGTGTTTTTTTGGGTTTTTAATTATATCTCCGCGTCTTTGCCCGCCGGCACTTTCAACTCCTATCTACACATCTGCATTTACATGCCTACCTTATATATATGCATGTGTGCGGCCTGGCTACTAGGTCTCTTCGGCTATCAGTTGCTCGAAGAGGCGGACTTGCATATTCGCTCACCCGTACGAATGGGATGAGATCTCGTCCGGCATAATCCCACGCGAACTCATGTCTCTGGTTTAATCGTATTTGTTGGACTCGATGAATATGTCGAGAGAACTCACTGCCTGCCGCCTTTTATTATGCGGCTTGCCGAGACCCTACCTGTAGGCGAACCCGAGTCTGTAGTCAGTTACGCTGCGTTAGTTACCAGATCTCATGAGCGTAAATGCTCATATAACATACAATTTACCGCCAATGGTATTGTGAACGGCTCTCACCTTCGTGGGGGCGTTAGGAAGTAGACAGTGTCAAGGTAATATGTAAATATAATGGATTATGAATCCTATGAAGATAATATCCAGGCTCCAAGTAGGTTAATGGACAGCTACCCTCAGTAGACCTCGCGGTTTTAACAGATGTTTTATCACGTATCCTTCCAAGAATAACAATTGACTCGAAACCTAACAAGCTGTTACGTCTCTAAAGTTGCTAGACTGCGATTTTCACGACCAAATACTTGACTTTTTAGAATTATAATATCATTGCTAGCGTTTCCCTCGTCATCATCGTAACCTCAATCCTTTTACTTCCAAGCGTTTAGTCCCGCCCACGGATCATTATGTTGCTGTTGCTGTTGCTGTTGCTGTTGCTGTTGTGCTGACCGCGACGCGGCGCTTTGAGAACCTCCGTATGCGTACTCTTGTGGTTGTTGCGAATAGTGAATAGTCTGTTGTGGTCCTAACGGCGGAGGTCCGGGAGGTGGCGGAGGCGGTACGAAACCAGGAGGCATGTACTGTTGTGATGCCTGAGCTTGTGGATTCCCATATGTACTATATTGGTGCGGTGCAAATGATGTCTGTGAAGGCGGAGGCGAAGCAGGACCTCTACTTCCGACACCAAGCCCAAAGGTGGTCTGGTTTGGCGGTGGTGACGCCGGGCCAGGATTCCGGCCCCAAGCGCTGGGATTGTACGCGGCCTGGCCAAATTGTTGACTATTATGTTGCGGATTAGGAGTGAATGATTGTTGCGGCGTGGGTGCGTATGTAGTATTTGCCGGGGGGCTAGAAAACCCTGGATAATTGACTTGGTTTGGCGGCGGAGAAGCTGGCATTTGATATTGGCTAGAGGCGCTGGTCGTTTGTGGATAACGCGGAGCATTTGAAAAGGAGAGCGGCGTCGGGACAGGTCGGTTCGAGCCCGGGTTCGGTGACGGGGATGTGCTAGGATCCATAGACATGCGTTCCATCAGACCACGGAGCCTTTCCCGCTCTGCTTCAGCTTGCGTGCTCTTGTTTGCGGCTATCTCTTGCTCGATCTGGCTAAGTAGTTGAGCGCCCTCCGATCTCCTGTTGTTAACAAAAGTCTCAACATTCTTCTCAAGGCTATCAACCGTCTCTTTCATCTCCGTATACCAGTTCTTAGCACTCTGTAAGCCGGATTCCAAGTCGAGAAATTCTTGATATGCTCTCTTATACTTGCTGACTACCATGTTCCTTTGTCGTTGTATGGCCTCGTACTTGCTGCGTTCCGAGCGTACGCGCTTGTCCTGTAGAAGATGGCCGAAGGATGCCTGCAATTCCTTCAGCAGAGAAGCTTGCTTATGGTTGGCTTGCAGGATACGGTTTTGGTGAGGACGGAACTTCTCTAGTTCGGACTGAAATAGCTCTTTCTCGAAGTTCGGGATCGACTTCTTGTTTAGAATCAGGATTTGTGAGATATCGTCGTTGTGAACCTGTATTTCGTTAGCCTATTAATATGGACGCTCCTGGGCTTTACGTATATACCTTTTCTTTGAGGTCTTTCAGTACTTGATTCCGTTCCCTCTGGACTAGGTTCAGCTTCTTAAGGATGTCCTCAACTCTCGCTATCTGCTCCGCGACGCTAGGGCTACCATCGTCAAAATCGGTATCCAACAAGTTCGCTTCGCTACTAGCTGGGCTTGTCGCACCGCTGGACTTTGATCTAACTCTACTGACGGCCGTTTGGAATAGCGCATCAACTTCGCCCGTTTGCGCAGCATTCCGCATCTCCTCAAAAGCCACTTCGTTTTGACGGAATTTGGTGTAGAGCTGACCGTCACTCTTCGCTGCTTCATCTAAAGCTTCTCTATAACTTCGGATATTTCCTCGTAGAGTAGTCGTAAGCCGTGAGCTCGGCTGTTGCGTCCATTCGCTCTCGTACTTTGATCTCATTTTCTCGCAAACGCTCTCTTCCATATCCAGCTGTTTCGAACATCTATCCAGCACAGTCACGATTGCATCCTTGTCTATTCGTAGCGTATCGAATATCGAAATCGGATTCTCATGCCCCGCGACATCATCGCACCAAGTTTGGAAGTCCCCATCTGGTCGGATCTCTTGGTCAACACCCCCTTTTAGTACTTTCAAAGACATTGGTAGCTTCAAATAATCCAAACTGGTGGTCATTTCACTGTTAGCTAGGTCAACCCTCTCGGCCTCTGCGCGGACCAATTTCGCCTTTTCTTCGTCATATAAGCTTGCTGATTCGGTGACTGTGAACGGAACGATCTTCGCGAACAAATCTGGACCAGTTATGCGCTGAATATCCTGACCAGAATATAGTTCGTTTACGGGTATTGGCTTCGCTGCAGGGAGTTTCGGGACCGGGACCAAACTAGCCTCCGCCGGCACAGTCTGGTGGTAGATGTAGTCGTTGTCTTTTATCAGTTCCTTCAATTTCTCCTGGATGGTGGTTAGGTTCCGTTTTGTGATTTCCGTTAACAAAATCCCCGTGTCTGCACTCAAGTTCGAACTAGGTGGCATGGTGTTGGGGAAATTATTTGCCATTCTACTAGCTTCCTTCGCCTGGATTTCAGCCGCCGTAAGCCTCGCGACAGCGACACCATAAGAATTAGCATCTTCATCAGCAAGCGCTTGATAGTATTGAGAATTTGAGCTCATCAAGCTAGCTTTGATCTGGATACGAGTGAGTCAACGATCTTCATTTCGAGCCGCAGAATGACTTACCTGGGTAAAGAGGAGCCAGACTTTCTCGAAGATGGCCTTATTGACGTTTTCCTGGACTCCTTCAAGGGCTTGCTGGTACAGGTAGGCTGCCTGGCTAGATAACTTTGCCAGTAGACCTACCTTCTTCTGGTCTGCAACCTGTTTCTCTAGAAATATCTCCTGAGCTTGCGCAAGCATGATCTGAATTAGAGTCTTAACGGTATCTCTGCTCAGATCGGATGAAGGTGCATGTAAAAAGTTTTCGTTTATGTAAGTAAACATGCCAGCAGAGGCTTGGAAGGAATGATAAGCGGTTTTCAGACCAGCCTCTTCGGAGCGGGTTTGGTTAGCGGCGTGGCAGGACAGAACAGCGGATATGTTGAATATTATCGAGGCTTTCTCAAAGGCGAGGGAGTACTGAGATGTCGACTTGTGGGTAAATGCATCGAACCTAGCATACTCAAGTCAGAATTGATACAATGCCAACACTCGACCTCTGCAGGAATAGCCATACCATGTGAAAGAGATCTTAATATGCTGCTCGTCGACAGGAAAGCGGAGATCTAACAGCTCGAGCTGGCCGTAGTATCGATATAACAAATCCCTCCCGGAGGTGCTATCCTTCCCGGCACCCCTCATATCCTGGCGGAGGCGGTTGAGCGTTGCGCATTCTTCCGCATATCTTTCGGGGTCATCTCCATAAGTATCTCTAATGTAGGTCTTAAGCGGGGTGATCCAATCGATTTCGTTGGTAGCCTTCAAAGGCACCGAGATCATAGGAGTTTGCGTCATGGCGGAAGATGCGAATTGCGGTAGAAGACTTTGCGCGGCAAATTATCTCTCTAATATTTCCTAGGCCCGTCTATCATAAGGAAAAGCGGCTTCGTAAGGGAGTAGTCTATTATTGTCGTATGTACGAATACAAAGAGATGTGGGGTTGGTGTAATTTGATGCTGTATCGATGGACACTAGATCAGGTTATGAATTGTGCGTCGTGAATTTTGTCACCACTTCCAACACACGACACTCGCTCCAAGTTAGTTCTCTGAAGACAAGTTTGTACCAGGGGTCGGTGGATCTTCCAACATGCTGTCGTCCGAACAGCAAAGTTGCAGAAGGCTGGGTCGGACAAGGTGGGAGAGAGGTGTATAGTGTATAATGTATAGGTAATGTATGTAGCCTAATTAATTCTGTTGCGACGAGATGGTCAAGTCGAGCAGGATCAAGTGAGAGTTAGTCAACTAAGATGACGCACAAATAAGGTGGCACGCGGCGCGTTGGTGAATGCAGTGAGACACATGAAAGTGGCCATGCGAACGGAGGTTCGGGCTGGTAACAACAAGGACGTTTTCAAGTGTTCTGGGCAGGCGTCTATGAAAGTAGCCGCCGTAGGTTCAATCTTTAAGGCTTAAACCTAGGAGGTATCTACAGTGGGGTCCGGCTAGAAAGGTAAGGTTTGGCTGGGGCAGGCAGTTGGGACAGTTATCCTAAAGGTACCACAATACTTAGGTACATAAGGTACGGTGGGGTTTTGGTGCGGAGAATGAGATGGTAGGGCACTGTTAATCGTCAGCAGCGACTGCCCTGTAATAAAATCAGCGTAGGTTAGGTACCTACATATCTGCAAAACTACCAGGTAGGTACATACCCTACCGATGCCCTAATTTACCTACCTAAACTCACTTAACGTTGGGCAATCTAGGTCATATATTCCGTACATCTATGATAGCTTACCTATGTGATGTGTAACATGGCGCTTAACATACAAGACGCCTCTTAATGGCTTATAAAAAGCTTATAATCCTACCTACATGTACCTGATATCATGTTGTGCCACCAAAGAGGTACTTGCATACTTCACATTAAGGACGTCAAGGTTACATTAAATTACTTGTACATATGTATTTTCCAAAGTTAAGATGTTCTACCCCTCTTATAACACAAAACCACTAACCTAATAATATATCTCCCAAATCATATCATTTTAAACTCCTTTTCTTTTCTTTCCCAGATGCATACAATCAATAGTAGCCATATAGAACAGCATTAACTTCGGTTTACCAGACAGTAGTGTACAGATAGCAAGCGCACTTATGCAGGTGACGAGGCCATCAGCACGGCAAAGGACCCCTCTATCGTACGCCATTGGCTACAGCCTGCAATCCTCTTCCGCTCCAAATGTGCCATGATTGGTCCTTCAGGCGGTTAGCTTCGAGACTCGGAGAAAGAAGCAAGGGATGTAGGCGCTTAGCGGGCCGCCGCTACGACCTTAAACTCAATAAGGCTGCTCCCTCCTCCCGGCTCTCCCTACCGAGACCGCTCCTGCGACCGCCTGTAAGA